CCAGATATCATGCCAAATTGAAACTTACCACCCACCGTGAGTTGGACGCTATATGCATATGTGGGCTACCATTCATACCATTTCATCGCCTTTGTCAGAGAAGTCAATTGTCGCACTCGCATGATCATGAGTGTCAAGACGCCCCCTGCCCACCGCATGGCGTCCTCTGCATTCCACATTCTGGAGAGACTAAAAGTTTTCCCCAGCTCAAGCACAAATTATATTGAAATACAGTAGCGTTGGTGCGTGCTGTTCTGAACAACACCATCTGAATGTTGCGTGAAGAACGGGAACTTACCAACTGCAGGTCATAACTCGAGGCCAGAAACTGTATCGTCGGCCTCAATACAGGTCTTATCGTTGTGGAGAAAGGCTGCGACTTCGATAACTGTCACAGCTTGGAAGGAAGCACGCGGAGGTGTCCATTTGAGCGCTGGATCCTCGTTCCACATGCAATCCGAACCCGCTGCTCATGCAGAGGGTCCGGCAGACAATATTCTCACCCCACCTCGTCACTTACGGCTGTCGTCGGCGACTGAAGCTGTACCTGACCATCAGGTGGAGTAAGAACAAATTTTCAGCATCTTTTGCGAAGTGGCATTGTCGTAAGTCTGGCACTCTATCTACGCCGATTTAATTGACTCCAGTCTTCGGCCCACCAGGCCATCTATCTTCGTTCGTGGGCTTGAATTGGAGACGCAGAACCAGTATGTAATTGTCCGAGAGCAAGTCACTTGGCGCCCCCGACTCCCCATATAAGAGTTGCAGCAATTATGCCAAATCTTTGACATCGCAAGCCCTTCTTTGCATCCTGTGAGCCACCAACGAGTCCACTGCTTCTGCGCCCATCGAACACTGATATTGGCCCTTGGAAGCACAGGCAAACCTATACTCGATTTTACCGTACCCATCTTAGCTTGAAGGCCGCTCCCTCTCCCTCGATATGACGATCTCAACTCCGACTGCACTTGGTGATTCCGAAGCAACCACCACCATTCGCCCAGCTGTATTAGTGGTGCGTGATTTAATTCTCTCCACTCTCGACAAATCCTAATCCTAAATTTGTACTCGTATATAGGTCGGCGGTGGGCCTGCGGGCCTGACGTCTGCACTCACACTCCGTAAAAACGGTGTGGCTATCCGCGTAATCGAACGCATGAAGGAATTCAGCGACGGTGTACGAGGGCCGGGTGTGCAAGTAAGACTTCTTTCGCGCCTTTTCTCATTCACCTGATGTCCTGACGGATATAACTCAGCCCCGGACCCAAGAATTACTTGGCTTCTTAGGCGTTCTTGATGACATCGAAGCAATCTCGAAGAAGGCACACATGATTGCGAAGCATGGTGTCGGAAAAGACATTCTGGGCGAAGTGCAATGGGTTGAGTACGCTGACGAGTCTCCTTCTACTCCACACGTATGTTTCTCCTCTGGAATCCCCAGCGCTAAACTGTACTGATATCCTTTCAGCGAAGCGTATCCGACGTCAATCAGTCAGCATTTGAAGGCGTTCTTCGCAAACATCTCTCATTGCTCGGGACGACTGTCGAGAGAGGTGCTGAATTAGTTGGAATTGAACAGACACAAGACAAGGTCGTAGTTCGGCTTGCCAGCGGAGGTCAAGAGCATACCGAAGAATACGACTACGTCATCTCTGCAGATGGCGCGAAAGGTAAGTAATCCTGCGTTGAAAGGGTGGCCGTGTCTCACTTAGATCTAGGGCGAACTCGCAGGATGCTAGGCATTCCTTTCATTGGCGAGACTAAGGAAGAAGACGTGATGCTCCTTGCAAACGTCGAGTGCGAAGACGTAGATCGGAACGTGAGTCGCGATCCTTCCTTGTGCCATAACAATCTCACCGATACCCTTCCTAGCATTGGCACACCTGGGGTGAATTTGGGCGGGGAATGTCAGTATTCACGTTTCATCAAATTTTATAATTGTTTAGTTCGTGTCGAATCATTATAGCTTCTGCCTCAAACCCATCCGGCCCGCACCCTTGTTCCAGATACAAGCTTTAGGCCCGGAACTACCCAAGCCACTTCCTCACGACACAGAGGGGCTGCAGGCGATGTTGAACGTTCTGAGTCAATCGACAGACATCAAGCTTTCCAATGCCTCCTGCGTGTCGGAATGGAGGTAAGCCGTAGTACCTAAGTCTGAAGTTGTATATTCATCGCTTTCTAGGGCTAATATCCGAATGGTCGAGAAATTTGGTGTGGGACGAGTTTTTCTGGCAGGAGGTACATGATTGCTGTGTCTCACAATCTCCGACACTGACATCTTTCGCATGTAGACTGCGCGCACTGCCATTCACCAGCCGGAGCCCAGGGGGCAAACACAGGCATACAGGACGCAGTAAGTGCTGCCCGAGATTCCTGAGTGTTCCTTACTCATCTTCCTGCTAAACTTAGGCCAACATCGCCTGGAAACTCTCCCTTGTTGTCAAAGGTCTCGCAAAACCGACGCTCCTCGATACCTACGAAATCGAGCGGCTACCCGTGGTGGCCGAGATGCTGGATTTGACCAGCCAGCTTCACAGTAACGCGTTCAATCGCATTCCGGACTCCACCCTTGGCAGTGGCGCCGAGGACTCGAGAGCGCACGACCCGTATTGGCGCCCAAAGACGGGCCTTCAGCTAGGGATCAATTGCCGCTGGAGCCCGATTGTCTTGGATGGGAGAGCGGACGGGACCACACCGGTGGAGAAGAAGGCGTACGGTACACTCGGCGACAAAGTCAGAGCTGGTGATCGCGCTCCCGAGGCGCCCCAGCTGATCGAACAACCAGGTGGGAACGAGACAACGTTGTTCAACCTCATTGCTGGATACTCGCGTCATACAATCCTAGCATTCTTGGGCGACACCCATGCAGAGCTGCCCGCCTCCCTTCAGAAATATCACGGAAACCCGATCATCTCATCCATCGTCCTGTTGCCTGAAGGGTCCACGGCGAAGACTTCCGAGCAGACATACCGCACTTTTATCGACAGCAAAGGCCACGCTTACCACGCTTACGATGTGGTGAAGAGCTCGCCTACCTACATCGTTATCAGGCCAGACGGGATTGTAGGGGCATATGCCGTCAATGCGGACCAAGTGCGCCAATACTTTGACGCCATCTTGATTTGAGGGCGTTCGGCTTGTCTGGCACCGGCGAGTCCCAGAGTAATACTGTACGATAGGCTGACGGCTCTGACTATTAGTAGGTATAGAATTCGTAGAGTTTTGTGCGAAGAGGATAAGACCGTGGCTCCAGTAAATGGACCTCTCAGTGCAGCTTACGAAGATGCGGAATCTCTTGAACCCGACAGTGCCTCGCTAAAACTTAGATATGACCCGATTTCATCCCAATTTCCATGATCTCCTTGACCGTGTGGAAATGTAAGCCAGGGAAGAGCTGCTCTCGCTGCGCTTCGACTATCTCCCTGGGGTTTGCACTGGCGCCTGAGAAATTCCATTCGTCCATATACGCCTTCAGTAGCTTCGGCACATTGTCCGGATCGTTGTGATACTCCACGATGTCCTGATAAACCTGCGACGCCGGTTGATATGAGATCTTGGTGAACTTTCGTCCTGAATCCTATTGTGAGTGCTCGCTCAGCGCTATCAGAAAATGGAAGGACAAACCGTAGAATTCTTCGACCCATGCTAATGCCTGATGCCAGGTGCCTACATCGCCTTGCAAGTACACCTCTTCAGGCCATTCTCCAGACGGCACCTGGATCAACCGCAGGAGCGCCCGCGCGACATCCCTCCCAGCCGTCCACCCAATCTGTTCCTCACCCGTACCTGGAATAAGTGCCTCCCAAGTGTCCGTATCCAACGGCCACACGGGACCGAGTGACTTGAAGTACCGTTTCTCCAGTGGGACAAAATAATCCATGAACCAACCCTGGTTTACGAGGGTCCACTCGACAGGACCCCCTTTCGCCTTGTGCTCTCGCAGAGCGCGGCGAACCTTGCCATGCGTTGGGATGTACATGCGGGGTTTGTCGGCGTGGTTGACAAGATCTCCGCCGTACTCGGAGGGAACGAAGCGCTTGCACGCGGTTGATTTGGCGCAGGCAGCAAGCATTGCGAGATGTGTGTCATTGTAGAAGTGGTCATTGGAGTGTATAAAGGAGAAGAGGATTGTTGCTCCGGTGGTATTGAGGATCGAGAGTAGTGAAGACTCGGAGTAGTCAGTCAAGTGGAGGGAGATAGAGGGCCGATTGAACCACTGCCGCTCCTAATGCATACAACTGCGATGAGTCAATGCAAATCTTAGTAGTATCCTAGCAGTGTCATGACGTACCGCACGGGAGATCAAATGGATGTCGTAGCTGCCATCCTTCTCTAGCTCTTCGACAAGATACTTTGCAGTATCACCAGCTCCGGCGATTGCGACAACCTGCTTGTTTGACGAGCTGGCCATAGGAGGTACTTCACTGCTGGGGGTATCGCATCGTTCGTATGAGGGAGGTCACATTTATACGAGCAGTTCTGTGCTAAGTATGATAGCTGCTGAATAAGAGCACTGGCCTGACACGCCAAGAGACCATGAGTCACCTTGAAGTCCTGGCTTGAGTGAAGTAGACGCCGCTCCCGAGATATATTTGCACCCACAACACTTCCGGAAGATGTGGATCCCATTCAACAGAAGGGACGTTTGAAATTCATGCGACTCATTGTCCAGCAAGAAAGATAGTCCCCGGCGACTTTGCTAGAATGTGGAGCTTGATATATGATATGTCGGTAAGGGCAGCGCTCGAGGTTGGCGAAACACCTGTCTTGTTTGCGACTAGTACTTACCAAGAAAATTGTCGGATTGGTTGTGCGTTGTCAATGGCTTTGAGGTACATTGATCCCAACTATCGATGGTGGGTTCAGCACCGAAGGGCAGAGTCCGACGGCTCATCGAGGTGTACCAATGAGAAAAGTTTCAGTCAAGGGGTCGGCTGCGCAGCCTTGGGTGTGGCGGCCCCGCAGTACCTATAAAATTGACATTGGCACGTTTGCATGGCTCAATGGTCTAGTAGTATGATACTCGCTTTGGGTAAATCGCCACTAACGTGCGGTGATGTGACCTTTGCGAGGGGTCTGGGGTTCAATTCCCCATTGAGCCCTTATTTTATTGGTGTCGCAGAGATACGTGTCTGCTTTTTGAGAGGAGGGTACATATGTGCGAGCGAAGCAGTTGAAGGCAGGGTACCGCAAATAAAAAGGACTTGTTCTTGTTCGCGCGGCTGAAGTCGAGAAACTCCTCGAGTTCAATATTTTGAACATCATCCAACCAATCGTTGTAGGAGATGAGATATCTGAGTACGAGTGTGTCATGCTGCTGTTGACTTTATTGACGCTGGCACCGCTAATGCGGACATTTTCCGACACACTACAAACCACTATATTCCCGAGATTGGAGGACATCGAACTCGCCCTTGAATTGCGCAGCGACCTTCCAGTCGTATCTCGCGTCAGTCTAGTTCCTTCATTGGTAGGCGGAGCAAGCGACCAAACCCCAGTGCGTGCGGTATACGCGCATGGAAAGAAGAGAGTGTGCAGTGGGATATCTGAACGACTTCATCCCTACGGAGGCCATCTCAGGAGTGTTGGTACTCTGGGGTAGTCTACGAGCAGGGAAAGGGGACGGACGCGTAGTACGTGAGCAACTCGACTGCCAGTGCCACTGAATCGTGGCGCATACCGTTCCGAATCGCTTTTGAGTCCATGTTTGTATATCTGATGAGGTGCTCTAGTTGGTCATAGTACTGCAGCGCACCAACTCAACAATCATACAAGATCCTCTATACCTTCACCGACTACCACTGACTACCACTTGCAGTAGAGAAGTCCGTATCTATATCTCCACTGCGTGATCTCTTGTAGGCGCGCGGTGGAAAAGGCTCCGACGGCTCCGAGCTGAATACCATTACGCTTTGTACTTGCTCCTTGGTGCTAATACTTGCGCGCGCAATGCCAGAGCGCATAATCACCATGAAGAAGGTTATGGAGATTATTGGCACAAGCTGACTCGGGTTTCTGTAAGCAAGAGTAGCGAGCGTTGGCACGAACGAGGACTGACCATGTCCACCATGAACGTTTGACCATTCGACTCGATCGCGAACAGAATCAAGGAGATAGTCAGGGAGACGGTGTAGAGCAGTGCCGCATCCACCATGATCAGCAGGACGGGCATTATTATTTGCTTTCGTCGATCGTCAGCAGTAGTCGTCCAGATCTTGTAAAAGAGCAGAGCTAGTATCGAGAGAAGTTTAGCACAGCAAAAGGGGTCGAGGCGGTTACACGTTACGCACAAGTACAGATAACGTTCGTTGACAGGGATATCGCCCAGAATGAGGTTATCCATGGGAGCGTATGGCTGGAGAAAATTGTGGCGCCATCGGGAAGATTGTCCGCAGACCAAACGCTGCCAACCGCCGTGGCTGGTACGGGCAGCCAACATGGTCAGAGCAACGAGGAGCGAAGGCTTCGAGAAAGCGCATACCAATTGTAGCTGAGAGCATGATGATAGGAACTATGATGATATAAACGGACTGCCAGATGACATAGCAGCGGTATATCTGAAGGAAGTTTATTATAGTGCACGGTGGACGGTAGAGGGAGACGCACTACGACGCTATCTCCCGTAACCGTTTGCAGAGCGTAGATGACATTCTTAGATATGAAGGTAGATGTCTTGAGCTTTCCGAACCATTCAGACGGACCGTCTAGAGAATCATTCCTGTGGTTGATCGTGCCTTCGATAGTACGTTTCACGTTGAGCCCGACATGCTAACGACGATCGATAAGCTTGATAGAGTAGTCAGCACGCGCGTTGAACCTACGATTGAACTGAGGACAAAGAGTATGGAGGCAACGACCAGCATCCTCCAATTGACCTTCACCGTAGATCTGCGGTAAAAGAGAATCCAAACTGTGACCCCATACATGAACACCGAGAAGCCTGCTCGAGTTAGTCAGGGAGACGCGCTCGCATGTGATAACAACGACGAACTGACCATACAGAATAGCCTCCAAGACCGTGGAGGCTAAGGCAGCCTTATCGAGCGGAATGCCATTCGACATCACGCATTTCGTGAAGTAGCAAGTTAACGGCAGAGAGGAAAGGTGATCTCATTCGGCCGGCCTCATCCCTATAAACGCCACGGGTAGCGCGCGCTCAGGCACTCGCAAGCGCCCGACATTGGAGGAATGGTGTTCCGGATGGCATATCAACTGTGGCGCTGCTGTGTCTGGTGATTGTCAACAGAGCCCTGTTAGACGCATGCAACGAGAACGATACGCAACGCAGGGGGGCGACGCGAATGAAACGATAGCTGACAGGACAATAAACACATCGCTAATAAGGTGGTATTGCTGCATAGCAGTCCCAAAACAAGAGGCGTCTGCGGCTGTACCCATTGTTCAACCTGACATCGACGCGCAAATTGAAATATCTGACGAAGCACTCTCGCATCCTGTATCCCCGCTAGGGACCAAACCCATAGCACGTTTGCAAGATGAAGAGACACTGTGATCTGTTGATGCTACTGGGCCACTGAAGTTGCGTAAACTGCCGGACAGATCTGACATTGTGTCTGAAATTTGCCGTAGTCAATAGGACATACCGATGGCCGCAGTGAAAAGCGGTGCCGGATACGATACCGTTCCTTGCGCCTGGATAGTAAACAGCTTGAAACAGTTACGTCCCGAGTACGCTTGTCGGTGGCAAATCAGACGTGCGGCCGTTTCTTCTAGATCTTCAATGTCGAGGCGAATGTTAGCTCGTGTGGTATACGAAGCAGAGACGTGCTATTCGTGAAGGATGAGATTACACTGCATAGTCCCTGCTCATGGGAAGAATGAGAAGCACATACTATAGGCGATACCGTGGCCATTATCATTCGTCCCTTCAGAACCTTCGTCCTCGACCGGCCACACCTCCCGACGCCGGTAACCTTCGCTTGCGGAAAAGACTGCCTGCAGATGCATTTTCAAGCTGCGGTTCGACGGACGGTTCGAGCTTCACGGGGGCGCTTTCCTCCAGTTTCACATTTTCCCTCGGCGGGTCGCTAATCTCCGTCGATCCTTCCTTGACCTTGTCAGTGTCGATCGCGGCACTGGGTTTGATACTGGATACTGTGGAGTCTCCCTTGTCCTGTTCCGGCGCCGGGGGAGGCGTAGCTGACGCCGAGTCTACCTCCTCGCCGGCCTTCCTCCACTTGGTTGCGGTCCATTTCGGCACCGAACTAGGCGCCGGACCTTCTGTCGCAGGGCCTGCCCCCGCCGCAAGTCGTGACGCATCTTCACCAATGATGCCGCTGCTTTGTGGTTGGGATACGTCTTCCTTCACGTCCTCCTTCTTCGGCTTCAGCTTGATGGGTATAAGACCTGGGTCATATAACTCGCCGAGGCCGACGGTGGCAGTCTTCTTCCTCAATTTCCAGCCTCGCCCACTCTCGTCACCATCGTCAAGGACATCTGCGGAACGCTTTCTATCTTCGCTTACGGCAGCTGTCCCCGCACCTGCCTTCGTTTCATCGTGAACGTCAGCACTAGCTTCCCGGGATCCGCTGGCAGGAGGCGGTGTGCTTTGCACGTATTGCCATTCGCCCGCCACGCCTTGGCTCCGACGACGCTCTGCCTCGGCCTGTGCACGCTCAAGGTCTGGGTCGGTATATCCTAACGACTGGGCGGTCGAATAATTTGCGAATTTATCCGTAGGTCTCGGCGGTGGTTTCTTCGACGATGAGGCAGCAGCAGCAGCAGCTGATGCAAGTACAGAACTTGAGGATGCTTTGGCGTGGCCAGCACCGACATCCTGAGAAAAGGCTGCTTGGGCCGCCTAAGACAGTCATGGTGAGATATTGGTGAAAAGTAGAGAGAACGATAACGCACCTGCTCTATCCTGACCATCTCCCTCTTTTCCTCCTCCGCATCCTTCTTTCGTTTCTCCCCCGCCTTGTATAAGCTGCGCACAAATCGTTCTTTATTCCCCTTGTGACGCATCCCATTCTCGTGGTGCTGCCGCGACGGTGCATCGTCCGTGATGTAGATTTCGCAATATTGACAGAAGTACCGCTTCTTGGAAACCCAGTACTCGCTCATGGTGACAGGAGTTCGAAATTTAAGATGGTGGTATGTATACGGCTGAGGACGCCAGGTGAGAGCCGAGTTCTCAGTCCAGTTGACGGGGCAGCGACAAGAAGCGTGGGATAGTTGATGTCGGCAATATCGGGCCCAGACTCCGACGTCCTTCAAGGTGGTTGCGACTTTGAATCTCGACGAAAGTAGAGGATCAAAGAAGACAGAACTATCCACCGATATGCAACGTATTATGGTGAAGGGGAAAATTACTTCCGAAAAAGATCTCTACGACTCGCAGAAAATGACCGCTGCACGTTCGATACAGTTATAAAAAGATAGACACCATACGCTTGATCCTGAGACTACCAACAGACCTTTCTCAAGTTCAGCACCTCGGCGTAGCACGGCGTCTCTTATCAAATGGCCATAAATAACCCTTCCCACATTTTTGTGAACGCCTTGATATTTCCCTGGAAAGCCACTATGCCCTCAACTTGACGCTCCAGAATAGAGCACAATCGCCCTGCGTCCGGAAGTCCCGTCGGCCATTCCTTGCCAAGACCTGTATCTTGTGAAGCTGGGGATAGGGGGGCGAAGCTGCTTACACGAGGATTACCAGTAGATGCGATGGTCTGACCAAGACCGATGAGACCGCAGGTACCTGCTTGTGAACGACTCAGGAGGATTGATGTATTCCTCAATGATAGCTTTGTTCTGATCTTCAGCGGGGAATATTTCATTTCTCAGAGCTACGATCTGTTCTTCGGGGCTTAGTGTGATCAGTATCTCTGGCAGCCGAAGCTACCATTATGAACCGTCGGCGGTCCGAGTCCGTCGTAGATGATTATGTGACTAGGAGTCTTCGGACGGCAAGACTTTTCTTGCCATACTGTCAATTATAGTGATGGTCAAGGTGAGAACAAAATGATCACCTCGTTCTGTTCATCTAGTTTCGCAGAGTTCCAGTGTGGAGAGCTGTCGTTATGATGACACTGTGTGTGTGTAATAGCTCGTGAGCGTGGAGAACCCTTCCCGCGAC